ACTTAAAATCTTAAATCCATTTTCAGCAGTAATATACTTCATATATTCAGAACCTTGTTAACCTATTTTCAGAAAAAAATGTTAACCTCGTTTTCAGTCCTAGTTCACCATAATAATTACTGCCTATATTATTATATACTGCTCAAAATTGTATGAACACACATATACTACGTATATACTTCGTATATTTTACTGCCCTCAGGAAAATGTCTTTTTTCACTGTCTAATACTTACTACTTACTGCACATGCTGATAATGCCAACGTGATGTACCACCAGTATCATCATTTGTTCTCTATCACTGCCTATACCTTTTAATGGTCATTATAAGCCATACACACTTCCCCTTCATTGCTGGATTTTTAATTCGACGAGATTTTAGCTCTAACGGAGTAGGACACTCCTTGATGTTATTGGATGTTGAGTACTGTAATTCCGGAGAAGAAAATTAATTCCGAGACCTTGCTACCTAAAAAAACGGATGCACGCTTTCCTCTCAAAAAATAACACGGAGAAAGCTTTATGTATGCCAATAATGTCAAGGGTATTAGGGGAATTTAATATGGAGGTATTATTACGCATTATGCCTTGACCATCTAATTAGTCATATTAAACATGATGGGATTTTCTAATCATACTTTGGGAAACTGCTTATCTTCTAGTCACATATACGGAATTTTCCAAACATGCAAAGCCAAACATGGGCAATATGCCAGAATTATGCGCCGTAAAGTGGGCTCTTAAACCGGGTAATATCCGAAAAACCTGCGTCGTATTAACTGATGAACCGTCTGTGGTACGAAAAATTTCACGCAATATTCAACGGAAGGATTTAATGTTAATTGTGGGGAAGAGGCGGGGTGTAGCGAAGCATAGATGACGAAGACGACTCCCAAGCGGGGAAGAAGAGCAGTGAAGAAACTGGAGAAAAGACCGCAAGCGTCAACATAGGATGAAGCGATTGAATCTCATGTATTTACTGTCGACGGAATTGTAAGTTTTTCTGTATTTAAGAGAAGTTTGATGGACATTGCAGGGATAGAGAAGGACGTATAGCGCAGGTCATTGATTTAGGGAAATAGCAGGTGTTGTGCAATAGGCGGTGAAAACCTGCTCAGTTTGGTTGGTTCCTGATAGAATTGGGTGTATGTAAAAATGTTAGGGCAAGGGCTCGATGAATTAGTATGTGTTGAGAAATTAGTGCATTAATTTGGGTAAGACAGATTGTTTTGGATGGTGATTTTCTTTGGGCATTATTTGGGGAAGACAGCTTGTTTTGCAGGGCAGTAAGATTTTTTTTTGAAGAGATATATGGTAAGACAATGTTTGTAGAGAATAAAACGTAAATGAGATAGTTCACTACTTGTTCCATGTAAAATTTTGTGGTTGATGATAGAATTGGTTGTGTGTCCATAAAGTAGGGCAGTATTTTGGGGAAATGTAATGTTTTGTGAAATAGACATTGTTCAACCAATAAACATTGTAATTCCTTAGAGGAACAATAGGTAGGATAATGAATTTAGGGAACTAAAATTTTGTGTTATTAATATCAAACTGTGGTTAGTTGTGGCTAAAATATTATATTATTTGAGAGGCAATAAATCAGGGCATTGTTTGCTTCAAAAGCATTAGATAGTATTTTAATTGAACGTTTTGGGGAATCATTATGTAAAGGCGCTTGAACTAAAACTTTGTAGAGGTGTGATTGTAATTCATATGAAAAGATGAATGTTTTATATTGCAGGATTTGATGAAATAGAATGTGTTGTGAAAGTAGGGCATTAAATTGGCTAGGGCAGATTGGTTATGGATGGTTTTTTTAGGCATTATTTGTAGTGAATAACTGAAGGGGAGTAAAGTTGTTTTTAGAAGAGAAGAATGTAAGGTAGGACATTGATTTTAGGGAAGTAAATGTTTGTGTTACTAATATCAGAATGTGTTGAGTTGTAGCTAAAGTATTCAATTATTTATGAGGCAATATACCAAGGCATTATTTGATAGGTAGGTGATTTGTTTAACGGTGGTTTTATTATAAATGATTACTAACTCATGAAGTAATGAATTTATTTATTTCTGAACAATGACAGTTGTGGCATGTTTGTGTTGAAGATGGCTGAGTATCTGATGTGGGCAAGGATGTCGAGTACGTGAGGCCAAAACATATGAATGCTTACCGCAGCAAGATGACGACAGAGTTACTAGTTCATTTTGGTGTCATAAGAGCGTAAACTTGAAAAACCGATGACGAATGTTTTTTGAATTTTGAGTGATGGATATTAGGAGAAGTGGATAAAATATATTGAAGTATTATTTTGATTTTGAATGTCGATTTTTTGAGAACATTAATCACACAAGTTGAACTTTTAATTCTAATATTTTGTTCTGAAATGTGTATTTGTTGGAGTAGATATATGTTAGTGCACTATAGATGGACTGACTATATATGTTGTGTTATCACGTGGACAATTGGTAATGGTTGTAAAAATTTGGAGGACAATGAATAAAAATGTGGCACTTGCAAGACAAAGTGTATTATTGTACAATGATGTATGAGTATGTGGTTTTTAGATTGTATTTGAAAGCATTGAAAATATAAAAGAATTGAGAAAAAATGAAATGACAAACAGTGGGCAATAATTCGAAGGAGGTCGAGTGCAATAAAATAAAATGATTAATGGATCCATATATGTAAGAGGCTCATTGATTAAGCTGATTAAGGGCAGTATATGAAATACAATGTCAGTAAGTTTTTTTTGGCAAATACAAAGGCAGTAATTTAAGTTAATTACAAACACTACAATGATAATGAATTATAAACATTACATAGACATTAAGTTAACTAAAGGTACATAATAGAATTACACAGGCCGTAAACGAGAATGACATGTATGGAAAAGGACGTATGGTTTGACATTTGGAGATTTTTAAAAAAGTGGGTATATGTACTCTAATACGGATCATTTGTTATACAAACATCTTGTTATGGGCTGAATGATTATTTGTTTTGTTTTAATGATGTCGTCTTATATTAATGAATTACTATATTTTGTGATGCACATATGACATTGAGTAGAGATGAATATTACGGAGTAAGTAATTTGGGAAAAATATTAAATTTGTGTCACGGTATGTAGTGATGTAACCTACGCCGACGCAATCCATGCTAATGCTTCAATAAACTAATGTACTGGGAAGGAAAAAATATAAGTCAGTGAAGAAAAACGTGTTCCGCCTAGTGAAGAAGGGAGTATTTTAAGCATGATATGAATTAATTGTTGGAAAGAATTGCGTTGTATTCATTAGTTCCTTATTTTTAGGAGCTCCCATCAATTAATCCGGCAATTATGGGTCTAAACGGTTATCTGACGTGCTCATGTAGTCCGTCAATAGCATAGATGTGTAGTACGTGAATTGCTTAGCCCTTTATTTTAGGATGAAAAACAGCAGCTCATTAATTAAATAGGAGGGCAGATTTGGGATTAAAAGAAATTAAAAAATCACGTGCATGGAAATAGTCATGTGCGTGTAATAGAATAGGGATAAAACTCATTTAGTCATATAACAACAAGAATAACATCCTCTTTTAGTCATAAGAGGTAAATTTTTCAATATAAAAATACAAACAAATATAAACCCGACTACTTCTCCTATAAAAACAAGCTTTTACAATGAAATTCACATTTTGGAATAGCACCAGGGCTTAGTGATTGAGTCCATGTCTTAAATCAAAATAGCAAACATTAAGTGGTTTGGAATATCCTTCTAAACCTATTATAGTTTGCACCTATAACTACGTTGTGGCGGTTGTGCTTCCTCTAATGTTGATTGTGTTGCAGTGAAAGTGAAAGGCTGAGGGAATCACTGACGTGACTAGTGCAACATATATTCATCCGAATCACATAGATGTGTCTAGACACATTGAAATATCCCGCATGCTAGTAGGGAAATATTACTTTGGTGACAACTCCGATAACTTTCAGAAAAATGGGGTACCGTACCTATCATTCATTTGATTGGATCACATCACTTTATCATTTTTAATTTAGATTTAAATAATTCAACTGCTACATTCTCATTGGTCCATGTGGACAAAGGTACAGTACCTTATGGGTACCATAGAATCTACCTATTACTTTTAGGGCCTACAAGTAGATGCTTGAATCTATGTTGTGAGCGTACTCTCATGCTATAAATGGGTAATTGGTTTTGTCATTTACAAAAGCCAACAGATAAAAATCTGTTCACTTTAGATCGATTGTGTTGGAACTTGGAAATCGGGTGCATTACGATTCGTTAAATAAAGGGTTAAAGATAGAGATATTACCCGAAATAGGACTAGAACAGTTTGAAAATTCCAAAATAGGACTGCTACGTTTTTATTCCCAAAATAGGATTAATTACTGCCATGTTTTAGCAGTACCAGACTTCAAGCATGTCAGTATTTTCTAAACATGACAGTAATTAGTCCTATTTTGGGAATAAAAAACATGACAGTCCTATATTGAAATTTTGAAACTGTTTTAGTCCTGTTTCGGGAACTTTCCCTTAAAGATATTCAAATTCAGTCTTAACAAAAAAGACCAATACCTCCCTGGTAGTGGTGGGTATTCATATATAACTTCAATACAAGTCCAAAAGAGTTATTTTTATGGTGTGATTTATGGCTTAAGAAGTTAAAATTGCATTTCCTTTATTTAATTACACCATAGATGATAATTCTAACGGATAAATAACTGCAACGTATTTTTCTTGGTATATTTGGTATGTATTTACGATTTAGTTATACAGATGGTTTTTTTATGAATACGAGTTGTTCAAACGTTGCAATGGAGTCAATTAAAGTCTGGGAGGACTCCTGGCTGCGTAATGTTGAACATCCTAAAATTTCTACACCGGGGGCAGTGGAAGGGTTGGAGCAGTCTCTGGTGCATAATTTAATGTATGATTCACAACAGGCATGGGATATAGACATTTTGAATGCAGAGATGATTCAAATTATACCTTTAAGTCGACGGGCAGTGCCAGACAAGCCGTGTTGGTGGTGGGAGTCGGGAGGTTTTTTCTAGGTCCGTAGTTGCTACAGGAGGCTGATTGGGGAGCTTGTTAATTCATTTTGGACACAAATGTGGAACTGGGATTTACCTCCTGAACTAAAAGTCGTTTTTTGGCAGGTTTACACAGGATTTCTTCCAACTACAAAGAATCTGCAGCAAAGAAGAGGCAATGTTCCGATGGTCTTGGCCTTTGTGGTGAGTGAGATGAATCTATGTTGCACCTTTTTATTTCCTGCAGGGTAGCGAGTGAAGGGTGGAAGATGGTGAATTGAGCAAGTGGAGCAAGAATTCACGGTTAGACGAAACCACTGAGTGGGGATGTGGGAGATATGGTGCGAGAGAAACCACCGTATACTGTTAATAACAATTATAGCTTTGCCACAGCCTCCCCTATACCATACTCCCTCCTTATCTATTTATTTGTCACAGTTTCCTTTTTTCGTGTATCAAATTAATTGTCTCCTTTCCTTTTTTGGAAAGAATCCCACTCAAAAAGCAGTTACAGTATCACTACGGTACCGCCCGCTACAGTACCAAAAACATCTTACTTTCTATAAAGTCTACAGTAATTATCTTAAACTCCGTGAAAAGCAAACAGGTCATCTAATTAGATACGGAGGGAGTCCAAAGTACATAAAATCACCGGAAAAGAAATCACACTTCTACGTAACCCTTGCATCAAAACACAGACGATCTCATCAAATATTCAAACTGAGTAAATACTCTGCAAAAGACTTCACATATAACTTTTAAATCATACTCCCTCCGTCCCTTAAAACTTTGTCATCTTTCCTTTTTGGGACGTCCCAAAAAACTTTGCCATTTTCCCTTTTAATCAATTATTTTGTGTATTCTGTTATTTCTCTCTCCTCTGCACAAATCTCAACCACACAGTTTTTACTTTACTATTTTACGTGTTGGTCAACTTTGGCAAAGTTTTAAGGGACAAAGGTAATATCACATATAATGGTAATCATATAACATCATTGTCAGAAATTTTTCTAAGAATAAAAAAAAGATAAAAATCTCTCATTACATTTGGGGGTACAATGGCCTTTAACTTTATTTACATCTACGTGTGTATAATATCTTCGTACAGCTACACCTGATACATTAAATCAACACTAATATTGTTTCTCAATTTAAGTCTTTCTCTGAAGGGGCCTCAGTTGGCACATTATTGACTTCAAAATAGACAATCAGCGGGAGAGCTGGCATGAAACGATAGATGCATTGTGCATTCTGTAAGATTGACAATGTAATCTCTATCAGGAATAGTTCCAATGTGTCTCTGCCAATGTGCTGCATAAACAAAGGGAACCAATGAAATGTAAGTAGCACAAAATGGTTAAATAACTACACACATACAAAAGAACTACTCCAATAAATAAAAAATATAGAAGCTTTAAGTATGCAACACCATAGCCATGCCTTGTCCTTGTCAGTGAAGACTGCAGTTGACTCCACAACGTGGCCAGCACATTGGACTTCGTCTGGGTTTCAAAAAATCAGAAGCTTGAACCATTTCATTTCATTTTCATTTACCCGTGCCGCAAAGGCTCCCACCTACGGTGGGGTAAGGGGGGTCGGATGTACGCAGTCTTACCCCTGTACTAAAGCACATAGAGATTGTTTCCGGATGACCCATAGACCCATAGTGAAACTCCCGTCCAAAATTGTATGGACTGACGGCTGCTTCATAACAAAGAAGCGCAGACAGTTTAGTGAGTCATTTTGCTTTATTCCATCATAATCTCAAGCCAAAAAATAATGAATCTTTGGCTCCATTGCAAATGATGGAAATAATCAGAAGCTTGAACTCATAAAAAAAATTAAACCAATGAATTCTTAAACACAAAAGACTGGCAATCCCATATATGAAGAAATAAATGCCACCTGAACCAAAAAGGCCTAGCTTCTTGTTTACTAAAAAGAAGTGTTTTAACCATTGAAGGTTGCTTACATATATACATAAATATATGATAAGTTACATGAATACATATATATAAATGAGATGTCAAAATATGATAAGAATATATGACTGATGGAGTATATGGCCTAGGGAGCCCCGGCCCACAGACTCCTGCTACTCTAACAGGCCCAACAGGCCCAGGAAGCACACAGGCCCAAATCACAGCGCCCAAGTGACATGAAGCCCACGACACGCATATATACGCCTTCTCCCCCTGGCCGAAGGCTCCGGAATCTCACAGGACAATTGATCATGAGAATACGAAGCTACTGGAAGAAAACGGCGGAAATCAGTAGCCTTCAGCACTTAGAGCCCCCGACACTGGGAGGTCCCCGGTGCAAAGAGCATTCGGCTTACCATCCACAGCTGAAAGCACCTTCCTTAACAGGATCTCCTCTCCACATGCACCTGGATCGCCGTACCAAGTACAACGTCACATCCAACCGTCGAATTTAATGCGGCCACATGCAAATGCCGGTGCCACCCCGATTGATGTAACCCTCAGTCGTCGGATGTTTGACACGTGTCTCCGTCTAGCATTTATTGCTACTATAAATAGCCCCCCTTTTTCCCATTGTAAACCACAACTTGAATACACACTCCATATTCGAACTCTTTATCTCTCTTACTTATTTGCTCTGACTTCTCTCTAAGTTATTCCCCGAATAACCCCTCGGATAAGCTACCCCCGAGTACACTATCCATCAATGACATTATTGACATCTCAAATATGATAAGTTGCAAAATTCTTAATTCGTTAATTATAAGCATGACTTGATAATATATATATATAAGCAAACAAAACCTGCACGAAACAATCATAAATTTTCAGTTTGGAAAATTCATTAAGCTGATAATAAGAGCAATCAGAATTTGAGATGTGGAAAACAAACCAGTTCTATTATCGTGACATTAAAAACCAATACTTAGTTCAATCAAATTGATACTAAACCAGTTGGCAATAAAAATGTATCTCAAATCAGGGATAATAAATATAACTAACAAAGTGGGTATCTCAAATCAGGGAACCAATGAAATGTAAGTAGCACAAAATGGTTAAATTACTATACTGTTTTTCTTACAATGTGTTTCACTTCATTTGATTTACGTACCATACCAGTGTACTTAGTATTGCTGCAGGTGGAACACTGGCTACATGGTTTGATTACCGGAATAAATGAGAGAAGCTAGGGTTGGTTTAAAACTTTTTGCCTAAAAACTGTTATTTACACATTCAAATTTGATACCCAGACCACCATTTTTAAAGCCGGAAATACAGAGAAAGAACATAAATTTGTAATCCAAAATGCAAATTAGGGAAGACAAATTTAAGATCAAAATTTATACACAACATGAAGTGAATTAATTAGAGACGAAGGAACTTACCTATGGTCGTTGCAGGTGAATTGAGCTACAATGTGGTTGTGTCGTTGTGCGTCCTTGGGAATAGAATACCTATAGTAAAAATGTCACATAAAACATGATGTAGAATGGGATAATAAGCTAACCGGTTCTACTATCGAGCTTCTTGATCTAGTTAGGGTGTAAGAAAACTAGTCGAAGGAAAGCTTGAGAATGGAAAAATAGCATGTGCAGAGATAGAGTATAGGAGAAAGATGATAGAAAGTGCTCCATATTATTCTCATATCATTTACAAGCCTCTGTGTACCGTATTTATATCAGTTTGATCATAACAAGAATATCAACTAACATATAACGACTTATAACAACTCAACTAACAACTTTGTGACATCACTATCTATTATTCGAATTACTATATCAAAACACCCTTCCTTAGCATCTTTGTCCTCAAAGATGAAATTCAGGAAACTGTTGTGTAAACTCTGATGCAAACATCCATGTGGCATCCTCTACCGGTAAACCTTGCCACTTTACTAAGGGTTCACCAGCAGCCAGTCCCTTCCTCTTTACCAATCTTCCGAATAATTTCTTCAGGAAGCTTAGGCATACTAGAATCATAAAAAAATGTTGGAACCTCAACAGCAGTTGATGTAGGATCATAGCATCTTTTGAGTTGACTCACATGAAATACATTGTGAATTTGAGAACTTGATACATTGTAGCAATACATTTCAAACCCCGAGTTAGTTAAACACCCTAATTAATACAAGTAGAAAATTAATTTCTATGACTATAAGCAACCTTATTGAAATAAATTATGTCACCCTCCTTCAATATAACTTTGATGCTGGCCAGATCCTTCTCATTATCAAGCTTCATGGAGGCCTGCTCTTTAATCCTAATCTGCAACGAGACAAACATAAGAAACTCAAAATTCATATAATGGGCACGTGGTATTACAGTCAGTTTCCAGTTTTCACTACAAAATTATTTAAGCAATTAAAAAAAACGTGTTTAGTGAACCGAAGTTTATTACTTGCTCACAACTGTTGAGAACTAGTATATATACAACGTCATCGAAAATAACCGTTTTTTTAAAATTTAGGGAAAAGTGTCAAATAGGCCCTCTTACTATACTCAAAATGTCAATTGAGTCCTCGAACTCAAAAAATGCCCAATTAAACACCTGAACTATGAAAAAACGTTCAAAACAACTTTTATCAGGTAACCAACAAGTTACTAAATAAATTTTGACACATGGCGACATGTGGCGGCACGTGGAACACCTTATCTTTTTTTTTCTTTCTGGTTCTTCCTTTCTCCCTATTTCGTTCGGTCTTCTCCTCTAGCCGGCCCTCTTTAGCTTTCTCATCCGCTCCAAGAATCCCAGGTAAGCTTTGGTTGGCTTTTGATTTTAATTTTTTCTTTTTGTTTCGTCCCATCGTAATATACTTCTGGACAACTAACTTCATCGTCTTCCGCAACGAGGTCTCCGGCTAGGTTCGATCCATCTTCTTTTCCGTCGATTTTGTATCTCCCGTCGCAGTACAAGGATGGATACGACGAACGATGCAAGCGTAGCACACGATGGGGAGTTGTGGTGTCGATTTGGGTCTAAATCTGGAGACCATGTACCAGGCTAGCATGGCTAGCGGTGGCTGGGAGGGCTCTGCTGCTCGGATTTAGAGGAAAGGTTGACCAGATGGGTGCGAACGTGAGAGGAAGAAACAGGTCTGGGAAGAGAAAGAAAAGGACGAGAAAGAGAAAGAATGAAAAAAGAAGAAAATGAGGGGAGAGGTAGCAGGTGCAGAGAAGAAGGGGATTGAGAAAGAAAGAAGAAAAGGAAGGAAAGAAAAAGAAAAAGGGAAAGAAAATGAAGTTATGCCACATCAGATGCCACAAACGTGATTTCAATCGGGAACTGGAAGAATACCTACTAGAAAGATGATTTGCCTCTTTTTTTATTGTTGGTGGGTTTAATTGGACGATATTTAAGTTCGTGGACTTAATTGACATTTTCGTTATAGTAAGGGGGGTTATTTGACACTTTTCCCTAAAACTTATGCTTAGAGACTAGAGTCCAATATAGACCAAAATGAAATATTCCGTACTTTATTTAAAAGAAGAAGGGGGTTTCTAAAACATCAAAAGTTTACTTCGATTATTCAAATTTGTCATAAACAAGTTGGAAAGAATGACAAAAATATTACCTATAATGATGGATAGTCTACCCGGGGGTATATATCCGAAGGGTTATTACGGGGAGTAATTTAGAGAGAAGTTAGAGCAGGTAAATATATAGAGAGAGAGCGTATTATAAATGTGGAGCGTTTTCAGCGTGGTTACAAATGGGGAAATGGGGTGCTATTTATAGTAGCAATAAATGCCGGGCAGGGACACGTGTCAAGCGCTCATTGGCTGAGGGGTCACTTCAACTGGTTGGCGCTGGCAGCCGCATGTGGCCGCATTTAATGCGGCTGTTGGATGGGACGTCTGTGCAGAGTACGGTGATCTGTACGCATGTGAAGCGGATATCTTGTCGAGTGAGATGCCTTCGGCTATAGAGCAGTAGCCGAGGGCTCTCCCTCCCGATGGCACCCCTGGTGCCGAGGGCTTACAGTGCCGAGGGCTGCTGTTTTCGCCGTTTTCTCCCAGTTTCTTAGTTTGCTTGAGAAACCCGCTCTGTGATAATTTGGAGCCTTCGGCCAGGGGACCGAAGGCCCCCCTGTGCGTTGTGCGGACTGCTTGGTACTCTGGGCGTTGTGATTTGGGCCTGTTGGGCCTTTGCTGGAGTAGTAGGAGTCTGTGGGCCGGGGTTCCCGGGCCATATACTCCATCAGGAGTCCCTCACTCCTTTTGCCGAAAGGTACTTGAGGGAAAAGGAGTAATTTGTGCTTGCCCTTTGATGTTGTCCTGTCGTGACCTCTGAAGTTGGTGAGGAGTTGTTGCTCTTATGTCCCTGCCGAAGGTAGTCCCTCAGTTACCCACATGTCGGGACTTGAGGGCTTGCTTTGTTGTTTGTTGGATTTTCACAGATTTTGTAATTTATTGATTTTCCCGAGGGGGTCCTCCAGTCCCCCACTCCTTGAGGCACTTGTAAAGTGGTGAAAAGGAGTAAAGTAGTTACGTTGCTGTTGTGGGCCGAAGGCTGACGCTTTTCGTTTCATTTTGGGGGGATGCCTCGTTAAAAACCTCATTAGGAAAAACCCTTTGGGAAAAAATCCTAACGAGGGAAAAAGAGTGCACCGAATTCCCCCAATGATGAATCGAAAATGTCAAACCTTGGTACAAAATGGAGAATGGCGGGAATGCCGAGGGCTCTCTCCTCTGAGGGCTCCTGTGTTGATTAGCCGAAGGCTCGCTGTTGATGTCCTGGTGGCGCCGAAGGGGAGCCCCTCAATCCAGAGATCGAGGGCCTGCCAGATGAGGGCAGCAAAGAAGTGTTTACCGGGGGGTCCACTGTTTGTTGATTTGTTGGTGATGAAGATACCCGAGGGCTCCCCATTACCTGTGTGCCAGGGGCCATCCGTCAATGAGGAAACTCCCCGGGGGGTACCCAGTTTTGCAGTGCTGAGGGGGAATCCCCGAGGGGGTGTCCTGATATGAAGCCCTGGGTCTCTGAAGGAGTGATCCCGAAGGCGTCTGTTATGTGCTGTGTGGGGCGCAACCCGGGGGCACTTCTGAGTGATTGTACCCGGAGGCTATCTTTGATGAAGTGGAGTGAAGTAGAAAACCCGGGGGCTTCCAGAATATAGCCGTTGGAAATATAGTCGTTGGAATACGTAACGACAGGATATAGCCGTTGGGGGGATGGCACACGTGGCGTGTGATGGCTGGTTGTTCGTGGGCGGCGTCACCGGTTGGGTGAAACGACGGCACGTAATGATGGCGTCCATCAGGAGGCCCGGAACCCAGGCCCAAGCCCGGATCCCAGCGCCTATAAATACCCCAAGGCCAGGCATTCCGCCGTGTGCGATAAACTTGTTAGCGAAGCTCTGTCAATTTTTCTAGAGAGAGAAAGTTCAGCCTTCGGTCCAAAACTCAGCTTTCGAGGTCAGTGCTCCCTGCCTTTCTCCTTCTAGCATAGTTGTACTGTGCCCTTAGTTTAGGAGATAGAAAAGTTAGGAAACACTACCGTCTACGAGCCCTCGAACAAGAAAGCGAATGTCGTCCCAGAGTGACTCTCAGGACATCTCGAGGACGCCCTCGATGGAGGATGAAGGCATCTCCGATGTGGAGTCAAGCAGTGATCAGCCCTCGGATTGTGGTGATGCAGCCCTCGCCACTGAGGTGCAGAAAGATCTGACGGCTGAGGCCGAGGCGGAGGAATTCGAGCGAACTGCCGAGGATGAAGAGTTGGCCCTCGCCGTCCAAGTTGCTGAAGAGGAGGAGGAGAAGGAGAGGGCGAAGGTCACTGTGGCCGTCCTTCCCCCTCGGGGTGCTGGTGAGGCCAGTACTTCCCAGCCGCTGAACGCGGTTCCCATCCGGGTGGCCCCCGGGAAGAAGAAGGCCAAGGCGGCTGTCCCTAAGAAGAAGGTCATAGCTGCTGATCAGGGGAAACCCGTAGATATGCCGGAGGGGTATTCCTGGCTCAACACGGCTGCCCTGGAAATAAAGTCGAAGGCGGACAGGGCGGACCTCTACGTGACGCAGCTACATGTAGGGCCCTCGGCCGAGGTGGTCGAGCCGGGAGTTGACGATGTGCTCTCTCGGGCGCCCGAAGGGTGCATTGCAGTACACGTGTTGTCGGTATCCATGGGCCTTCGGTTCCCGCTGCACCCCTTCCTCCGGGAGTACCTGAGGTTCGTCGGCTTGGTGCCCTGCCAGCTGACACCTAATAGCCATTCCTACGTGGCGGGTTTCCTAAACCTCTGTAGGGACCGAGGGGTGACCCCCAGCCTGGACTTGTTCTTCCAGAGCTTCAACCTCTGTCGAGGGGGTCACGCGAATGCGGAGGGCTTCGCCAACCTGCAGCAGGTGGCCAGGTGGAAGCTGTTTACGGAGGCGCCTTCGTCAAACAAGGGCTGGAAGGAGCGCTGGTGCTATGTCAGGGTTGCTGAGAACCCATTCCCGGCGGAACTTCGGGATCGCTTCCGTCGGCATCCGAAGGTTGGAAGCGCCGCCCTCGAAAAAGACGGCCTGGTGATAGCAAAAATCCCGGAGGGTCGCACCAAACAGGTCTCCATTAAAGACTATACTGCCGACAAGGGATTCTACGCCCTCGGCTTTCGCAGATACCGGTTTATTGGTGAAGCGGATGAGAAGTACCCCGTTTTTGCTGAGGCCTTCGGGGGAACAGGAGGTAGTCTACGAGGTCCCTTAGCACATAGCTTATCCTGTTCGTTGTTGTTTTTTTTTTTTGTTTTTTATTTTGTTCTTTGTGCCTTCGGTCAGCGTCCCCTCGATTCTAACCCCATTCCTTTGTTTCTTCGCAGGTGTCCCAGTGAAAATGATGAATGTTAGAGGCCTTGCAGACTTGAAGAAGAAGAAACCCTCCAAGGGCCCGAGGGGGACGGACGCCGGTGTCCCAAAACCCGCCGGTGACTTCTTCAAAAAACCGGAGGGGCCGTCGGCGGGCCCAAGCGCTGATGCTGCTGCTGCCGCCAAAAGGAAGGGCTCGGGCAGAGATCCCGAGGGCAAGAAACCCAAGACCGGGGATGCCGGGAAGAAATCCCCCCCGGTGATCATTGTTGATGAAGGCCCTGCCCCCGGACCAGATGAGGACATGCAGGTGGCGAAGGTGCCGTCGGGAGTTCAGGGGCCATCTTCCGAGGTCCTCATGGTTTCCCTCCCGGCTGGTACGGCCGTGATGAATGGTACCGCCGACCCGAGGGCGCTTCTGCGAGGCATCACCCTCGAGATTGACAGGGTTGCCCTCGGGGCTGATGAAGACGAAGCCCTCGAGGACAGGATCCTCCGGTCCTCCCTTACAGTAAGTCTTTCACGCCTATTTCTTTCCATTTTACTTGGAGCTTAGAAACCATATTTGGCCTTGCTAACCCCTTTGTTTTTGTAGACCTGCATTGCCCTCGGGGAGCAAGCCCGACGGCTAGAGGAGTGGCGCCTTCGCAAGGCCGAGCAGGAGGCCAAGATGCGGGAGCTCATCCGCCAGAATGCAGACGCTGTGCGGCAGATGGCCATGCTGGAGGAGAGCCTTCGGCAGATGACCCTGCGAGCGGAGGCCGCGGATCGGGGTAGGGCAGAAGCCGAGAGGTCCGCAGCTGAGGCCTTGGAGAAGGCTGCCAAGGAAGCCGAGGCCGCGAAGGTTGAAGCCGTCGAGAGAGCCCGGGAGGACGCAATCTCGGGGTTCTTGGCAGGGGGATGGCGGTCCGAGGAGCACAAGCAATGGCTGTCCTCGGTCGTCGAGTCCTCGGTCGACGAGTGGTGCGATGGGCCTGGCGTGGAGTGGGTTTCCCGAAAGGGTAAACAATACTACGATGGGGGCGAGTTCTTCACTCAAGCCCTCATCTATCGGAGGATGGCTCGCCACTTGAAGATCGAGCCAAAGGACTTTGACCCGGCAGCATACGGGCTCCCCCCCCCTGCAGCCAGACATCCGCGTTCCTCTTCCCCCCGATGTCGAGAGGCCAGACCTAGAGGACTCTGAGCTCATGAAGGAAGCCGAGGGCGACGAACCTGAGGCCGACGCAGAAGTGACCTCGAAGCCATCGGGGGAGGCGGTCCCCGGGAGTAACATGATTTGATATGTACTTTTTATCACGTAAACATTCATTTGTAATGATGACATTATTTATCCCTCGGCTTCGGCCTGCTTGTAATAGTAACATCGCAATTACGCTTGCTTTCTTTTTGATGATTGAATGATCGCCTTCGGGCTTTGTATATATGACTTGTTCCCTTCGATTCCTTTATTCTTGGATGTATGCCTTAGGCATTTTGGAATGTATGTGTTTGTTCCTTTGAATGTATGTCTTAGGATTTAGAAAACTATCTGATTGTAGCTAGCCTTTGGGAACCTTCGGTAGTCGAGCACCCTCTGCTGGATATGCAGCCGATGGTTCGGCAGCAATTAGGACTTAGAAAATTTTTTCTAAGTGTAGCACAGCATGAGGCCTTCGGGCGTTTGTAGTAACCCACCTCCTAGGACTTAGAAAAATCTCTAAGTGTAGATTCCCCCTTGAGAGCCTTCGGGATATGGCGCCCATTCCTTATGTGTGAATGTTGGACCGAGGGCCCAATGCACAGGACTTAGAGATTTTTGCAAGTGTAGTATGCCATGTAGCCTTCGGCTACTGTGGAGCCCCACCTGTAATATTGAATAGGCCGGGGGCTAATTCTTTAGGACTTAGAAGATTTTCTTGAGCGTTTTCTCATTGTGTACCGTAGCCCTCGATTGATAGGTAGCCTTCGGAAATTAGGTCCCTTGAGATGAGGGTGAAATATGTAGGCCTTAGAAAATCTTCTAAGTGTAGAGTTTCCCTTGGGAGCCTTCGGGAGATGGCATCCCTTCATGGTGTATGAGTAGTTGACTGGGGGGGAAAATATGTAGGACTTGGAAAATCTTCTAAGTGTAGAGTTTCCCTTGGTAGCCTTCGAGAGATGGCATCTCTTCATGGTGTATGAGTAGTTGACCGGGGGGGAAAATATGTAGGACTTAGAAAATCTTCTCAGTGTAAATTTCCCTTGGGTGCCTTCGGGTGATAGGTGCCCTCTGATTCCACATCTTTTAAGTGTTGTTGTATTGCATGGCCTTCGGCCACCATATTCTCTTGGCTGTAATATTGATTGGGCCGGGGGCTCCATCTTTAGGACTTAGGATTTTTTGCAAGTGCTGCTCCCCTGTGTAGCCTTCGGGTGCCCGGGGGCTGCTCCTTCAGGACTTAGAATTTTTCTAAGCATAAATTGATGTTGAATCTTGTTGTTGTGAAGAAAGCCAATGAGGAGTGTGTGCCCTCGGCACTTACTTCAAAAGTTGTAGAATTTGACCCTTGTCATGGGGAAAGATCCCTCGGTATTTGTGCATAACAGATGCCTTCGGTGTTTGTTTGAAGTACTGTTTAGTGGACCTTGGATAGTCCAGTCCCTATGTATTGTTGAAGCCCTCAGAGTTTCCTGATGATATTTCCTTGAGTAGTATCCTTCGGGAAATAGGAGTCTTCAATTACCGGAGGCGTTCCCGTGGGGAGCCCTCGGCATGTTGTGATTTTGTTGGAGTGTACTCTTTGATTTCTCGCTGAGTCTACTCCCCTTCACCCCCCCCCCCCCCCCCCCCCCTTTTTTTTTTTTTTTTTTTTTGGTTGGTGGTGAAGGGAAGGCATCAAGAAACTTGGTTTCTTGGTAAGGCTGGGCCTATTAGGAGACCATCAGAATACACCAATGGCTCTCCTCCCTCGGGTTAACCTTCCGAGTGCCGAGGGGATCGAGGGACGTTTCCTGGGCACAAGATATGGTGGTCCGTAACCTGCCTCCCCTTGGGGGATGGCGCGGAAAGCGCCTCATTTTTGAAAGTCGTCCCCTCGGCGCTAGACATAGTCTGTGGCCTGCCACACCCTTGGGGTGGTGGCGCGGGGAGCGTTTCGGTTTGGAAGTCGAATCCTGGGCATTTCTCATGCCTGTCATACCCTGGGGGTAATGACGCGGATAGCGTTCCGTTTTTGAAAGTCGAATCCTGGGCATTTCTCATGCCTGTCATACCCTGGGGGTAGTGACGCGGAAAGCGTTTCAAGGAAGGGTTTTCATTTGCACACTAGTTGCAAATGGCCGGGGGCACTACGTGCCGCCGGCACCGATGGTGGCGCCTTCGGTATATGCGTCCTCGTGGGGTACGGCTTTTAGAAACAACACTTGGTGTTAGTTTCGATGTGTAGCCCCCGGTACTTGGTACCGAGGGGTCTTCTGTAGGAACACTTGGTGTTCTCTTGTTGTAGTCGATGTAGGCGTCTACCCTCGGTACTTGGTACCGAAGGGTCTTCAATTGAAACACTTGGTGTTTCCCAATAGATGTTTGGAAGCTGCTAGTGGAGCATATCCCTGGCACTGGGTGCCGAGGGGTCTTCTTTGAAACACTTGGTGTTTTTTCTTCGTTTCGATATTTGATGAGGGAGGTGTACCCTCGGCACTGGGTGCCGAAGGGTCTTCTGTAGGAACACTTGGTGTTCTAATCTTTTCTTTTTTTGATGTTGAAGGTGGGGAAGTACCCTCGGCACTGGGTGCCGAGGGGTCTTGACTGAAAACACGTGGTGTTTCTACTGTTTGTTGTAGGTGTTGATGGTGTCCGCCCTCGGCACTGGGTACCGGAGGGGGTTCTTCTTGTGGTGAGGCCTGGGGCCTGTAGTCAGTATGAGGGCTTGATGTCTTGAATGTATCTTCATTCTTCGAAATTGGAGGCCTTGGGCCATTGGATAGTACATTCACTAGTTATGAGGGCTTGACCGCTCTTACATTATTGATAAAATTTAACTAAATGGTGTACATTCCAGTGCCTAGGGACCTCTTTCCCGTTGGGGCGTTTGAGTTTGTAAGTCCCGGGTTTAATGATGGCTGCTATGATGTAGGGGCCTTCGAATTTCGGTGCCATTTTTCCTCCCTCGGTTGGCTGGCTGGCTTCCCTCCTCCGGAGCACATAGTCCCCCACTTGAAATTCCCGGGTTCGAACTTTGGCGTCGATGTAGCTTTTGACTTGCCTTCGGTAGTTTTCTGCCCGGATGAAGGCCTGCTCCCGGCGTTCTGAAATGAGGTGCAGGTCGAGGGCCATGTTGCTGTCGTTGACCTCGGGGTCATATTGGATCACCCTTCGGGTAGGAAGGGTGACTTCCGTAAGAGCTTTGGCTTCAAAACCGTAGCAGAGGGAGAAGGGTGTTTCACCTGTAGCGCGACGAGGGGTAGTGCGGTAGGCCCAGAGGATGTTGTGAAGTTCTTCTACCCAGCCACCGCCCTCGGCCTCCAGCTTCTTTTTGAGGCCCTCGAGCAAGGTCCGGTTGGCGTTCTCTACTTGCCCGTTGCCTTGAGGGTAGGCAACGGAGGAGAAGGTATGTTTGATGCCCCATGCCTCCAGAAGGGCACAGAAGGGGGCTGCCTCAAATTGTGTTCCATTGTCGGAGATGATCTGCTGGGGGACGCCAAACCTTGTGAGGATGTTCTTGAGGACGAAGTGACGGCACTTCGCCTCTGTGATACTGGCGAGGGGTTCAGCCTCCACCCACTTGGTAAAATAGTCGACGGCCACAATGATGTATCTATTGTTGGAGGTACCCCTCGGCAGAGGGCCCACAAGGTCTATCCCCCATCGAGAAAATGGGACAGATGTGCTGATGGGGGCATAGTTGACCGCTGACCTGCCGGGGGCTTTCTGGAAATGTTGACATGCGGTGCACCTCCGGGCAAGGTCAGCACAATCCCTGGCCATGGTTGGCCAGAAGTAGCCCTGGAGAATGAGCCTTCGGGACATGGAGAAGGGTCCATGGTGAGCTGAGCAAGTGCCACTGTGCACTTCCTCCATTGCGATCTCGGCTTCATCTGGATGAAGGCACCGAAGTAGCGTGCCATTGTAAGATCGTTTGTAGAGCCTTCTATCTTCGATGGTGTAGCTGGGAGCCCTCAGCTTTGCCAGTCTAGCGCGGGCCTCATTCTCGGGTAGCTGCCCTGTGGAGATGAAGGTGGTGATATCTGAGATCCAATCCTCCTGACGCTGTTGTATGTTCATAACGGGGCTTGCATGGATGCTTGAGAGGCTGAGTTCCTCGATTCTGGCAATTTTGGAGATGTGCTCGGGGGAGTCGGCCGAGAGCTTAGATAATATGTCGGCCTCGGAGTTCTGAGCCCTCGGTATTTGAGTGAGAGAGTGTGCCTCAAATACCTTAAGCAACTCCTTGGCCGCTTCCTTGTACTGTTTCATTCTTCCCTCCTTGGCCTCATATTCTTCGGAGATTTGGCCAACGACCAACTTGGAGTCGCATTTGATGTGGATCTGCCGAGCCCTCATGTTGGCAGCCAGCCGAAGGCCACATAGGAGGGCCTCATATTCGGCCTCATTGTTGGAGACCTTGAAGGAGAAGCGGATTGCATAGTAAGCCCTGAAGCCCTCGGGAGTAATGAGGACCACCCCTCCCCCGCATGCTGTGGTCGCGGAGGAGCCGTCAGTGTAGAGGGTCCACCAGTCGTCTGAGGTAGCCGAGGGCTCCCCGTCCGTGGCTGCCCTTGCGGTACATTCCGTCACAAAGTCCGCTAGGGCTTGGCCCTTGATGGCAGGCCTTGGACGGATGTCAATGTTGTACTGGCTCAAGAAGATAGCCCATTTAACCATGCGGGAGGAGCTGGTGGGGCTCCTCATGAGGGCGCCGAGGGGTTGATGAGTGAGGACCTGAACGGGGTGAGCCTGAAAGTAATGGCCCAACTTCTTGACAGTCCAAACGATGGCCAACACCGTTTTTTCCACAGGGGAGTACCTGAGCTCGGCCTCCCTTAGGGTCTTGCTAACGTAGAAGATGGCATGTTGGATGCCGTCTTCCTCCCGGATAAGCACAGAGCTGATGGCTGCCGGGCTGACCCCAAGGTAGAGGTAGAGGGTCTCCCCTACCTTGGGTTTGGAGAGC